CGCTTTGTGGCCAGCGTTTGATAAGGTCCTATCTTGGGCCTGATTTTTGGAAGTTTGGAGGGATTGAGGTGAGGCAAAAGTGCCAAATTTTAGGTGGTTTTGTGCACTTTTTTGGAGGGGAGGTATTTTGGACGAATAAATTGCCCTGAGATTTGGGGGCTTTGGATACTATCCGGAGTGGTTTGGGGGGCACAGAAATGAGCCCAGGAGTCCTGCGTGGCTTGTGGGCCACTCTTTCCCTACCTCTGCTTTAGAAGATGAGGAAATCTGAATTCTGGGGAGGGCGTTGGGCATTTTGTGGATGGTTTTGGATGCCTTGTTGTCAGCCAAAGGGGCTTGAAGCAAATTTAAAATAGATTTCCTTGGCTGATGCTGACGGCTGGTTGCCAGGGCATTCGGCTCTCGTTGCTAAGGGTATGTTGGTTGAATGGCAGTTTGTTGTTAGCCCTTGTCCAGAGAATAACTTGAAGCTTGGGCTTGGAAAGGTCCTCAAGAAACAAAGAAGGGTGTGTGTATGTGTGTGTGTGTGTGGGGGGGGGGGTTGGCAGAAAAGAAAAGCAGAATCTGTGCCAGGTTGGGTGCCCTTGACACAGCCTTCATCCAGCAGGCTTTGGAGTCTCCCTTTTTCCCATGCAGCTGTGTTAGTCTTTCTCTCTGTGTGAGGCAGCGCTCTCTCCCTGAGATTCTTCCCTTTTGCTTTGAGGTCTGGACAAAAAAGGTCAGTTTGGGTACCTAATCCACGCCCCTGGCCGTCCAACCTTTCACCGAAGATACTGCTTCCTCTTACGTCTCTCTCTCTCTATCTCCTGAGATGCTTTGTCACCTGGGCATTTTAAAATCTTTTCCTTGATTCCTAATGACGAGGCAGTGTTTCAACGCCCCTGACCTAGACATGTTGCAGCTTCTGATTTTTCTTGTTTGGATTGAGCCTTGACAAACCTTGCCTTTGCTTGTTTTCTTCCCTTAATGGTCTGGAGGCATCAAGGGGAAAGTGTCGCTAATTAGGAGGAAGGCAAGGGGAGGAAATAAAAAGGCAGTGTGGCAGCATAGAATCATAGAATTGGAAGAGACCCCAAGGGCCATCCAGTCCAGCCCCCTGCCATGCAGGAACACACAATCAAAGTACCTCCGACAGCACTAATCAGTTTTTATTTTAGGTATATAAATCCACTTCTCCATGTGCAGAACGGAGCAGTATTAAGGTCTCAGATGGTTGCTGCTCTTGTTGTGTGCCTTGAAGTCATTTCTGATGACAGCCACCCTAAGGCAACCCTATGGTGGTCTTGGCAAGATTGGTGTGGGAGGGGGTTGCCTTGGCCTCCCTCAGAGGCTGAGAGTGTGTGACTTGCCCAAAGTCGGCGTGGGTGTAGCCACACAGCAGAATCAAAGCACTTTGGCACAACTTTTAACTGCCTCTATCCTCATGACTCTTTCCTACAGAATCCTGGGATTTGAAGTTTGGTGAGGTCCTCAGCCTGGTCTGCCAGAGAGGTCTGGTGCCTCACCAAACTACACATCCCAGGTTTCTGTAGGACAGAGTCATGGCAGTTAAAGTGGTGTCAAATGCTGTAATTCTGCAGTGTGGATACACCCTCAGTGGGTTTCCATAGCCGAGGAGTTAAAATGAATTTTGGGAGAAAAGCGAGCTATAAATCAAATCAAATCAAATCAAATCAAATCAATAAAGTAAGAATTAGGTATGTATAAACCATTTACAGGTTGAGCATTTGCAGATTTTATTATTTGTGGATTACGGTATCTGCCCCTCCCATCGGAAAATTATGTTCTCTCAAGGCATCTTTACGTCCTCCGGCGTGATTCTATGGTCAACTTCTGCCAGAAGGTGTCCATAGGGTTGCACTGAAGGACCTACAGATGCAAAGAAAGAACATTTTCTCTTGGCATTTGTAAGTCCTCCAGCGCAGTTTTGTGGTCAACTTCCACCAGAGGTTGACCATAGAGTCGCATTGGAGGATTGCAAAATGGCCAGAAAAGTGTTCTCTCAGATAAAAATAATTTTTTTTACTTTTGCAAGTGGGCTGCACCCCTAATCCCTGCAAAAGTTGGGGGCCAACTGTAACTGGAATAACCATTCTGTTTGTCTCTCCTTGCAGGATGACGCTCCATCGCCTCCTGCTGGTAGCGGTGTGGCTTTGCATCAGTGACCTCAGCAGTGCCTCCGGTGAGTACTTGGGACAAGAAGGCTTTAACACAGGAGCAGCGGTCAATTATTGCCCCCAGTGACACCCCCATGGCTTCACTGGCCTACTTGGGTACACTGGAAGAGATATCACATTCCTTCTAGTGACCACTTTTGGTCAAACACTATCCAAAATAGGCTTTGGGAGGGATGTGGGGGGTTTCTGGGTATGTGGTTTTGGGCAGTTTGGAAAAGTTTTGGCATGAAAAAAAATCAAGAAAAAAATAGCTGACTTTTAAAATAATTGGGATGGGTGTTTTGAGGGACTGTCAGATGGCTTTGAGGGCTGCAGAAACAGAACTTGGCCCCCATGTATGGTCCGTGCCCTGCACTTTCCGCACCTATTTTTCACCCCATAGAATAATGTGGATTATTCTATCCTCATAGAATAATGTGGATTATCCATGCACTGCACTTTCCGCACCCCTTTTTCATCCCATAGAATAATGTGGATTTTCCCTTTCCAAAAAATTACGGCAAAGCCATTATCTAAAGAACTACTTTTGACGCACCCAACTAAAGTTTGGGGGGAAAGTGTGGACTAAAGCTCCCAGCAAAAAACTAACTTGTTGTTAGCTTCAGCCAGGGGCTAAGTCTCAATGGCAGCCCTGCACTCTTGATATCAATGTGTGCAGTCCGATGATGATTATGATGATGATGATGATGATTGGCAGAGGTGCCAGTCTTCCAAATGCATATTTCTCAATCCTAGCAGTACAAATACAGTAACAGAATTAAATTGCATGGTCTTTCATGCTGTGCCAGCTCTGTGGTCTTACTCTGCCCCATTGGCAGGGCCTCTCACTGAGGTTTTAAGTGTTTCAGCATTGAACATCAGGTTCCCAAAGCTTGTATTGTTTCTCGCTTTGGGCATCCTCTGAGTAAGTGTTTACTGTGTAGCTCCATGGGTTACGGTGATGCTCAAGCCCACAATCCCAATTGGCACATGGAACTAATAAGTGGGAGCTGGTGATTCCCATGTCAGCAGGACAGTTGAATTCATCTGACCATTAACAGACTTTTCTAAAGTGTGTGCATGTGTGCCCTCAAGTTACTTGTCAACTTATGGTGACCCCATTAATTCCATAGAGTTTTCTTAGGTAAGGAATCCTCAGGTGGTTTTGCCAGTTTCTTCCTCAAAAATGTAGCTTAGCACCTAGTATTTGTTGGTGGTCTCTCATCCAAGTACTAACCAGGGCTGGTCCTACTTGACTTCCAAGATCAGATGGAATCTGGTGTCTTTAGGATATTTAATGTGCACACTTTCAGGTTGCCTGTCAACTTATGGGAACCTCATGGGTTTTTCATGGGGTTTTCCTAGGGAAAGACTACTGAGAGGTGGTTCTGCCAGTTCTTTGTTCAGAGATAGATCCTCCAGTATCCAGTATTCATTGGTAGTCTCTCATCCAAGGAATAGCCAAGGTTGACCCTGCTTAGCTTCTAAGATCAGATGAGACATTGTGCTTTTGGGAGTATATAGTCATTGTGTACCTTCAAGTCATTTCCAACTTATGACAGCCCTAAGCCCTATCATGAGGTTTTCTGAGGCTGAGAGTGTGTGAGTTGCCAAAGGCACTGGGTATTTAGGCCCTGTTTTAAAAGCATAATGAGTTAAAAAGTGTGGTATCCCATGTTTATGGTTACATGTGTATGTCTGTGTGTCAGTGACACCATGAATTTTTTATACAGTTTTCTTAGGCAAGGAATCCTCAGAATTGGTTTTACCAGTTCCTTCCTCTGAAATATATCCTGACCCTGTTGTTTCCAAGATCTGATGGGATCTGGTGCCTTGAGGGTATTTACTAAACCATTCTGGGGAGAAAAAGTTCAGGAGATTACAAATCTCCTTTATATTCAGATTAAACCTCAGAGCAGATTCACCTGGTTGACATGGTAGCCATCTACCACCACTAGAACCAATCTGGGTCCTTTGGATCCTAATGAAAGCTGCCTTGAAACCATAAAATATTGCAGAGCTACAGAGGTACAGAAGTGTGTAATTGGATTACTCTGCAGGCATTAACTAGCAGCTGAACATGCGAATTGACTAACTCGATTGGAGGCGAAACAGGACTGAGTTTGTGGTCATTTGAAGGCTCAAGTGACAAACCTTTTTGCCCAGCCATGCCTGGGCCTTCTCTTGGTGCCAGGGTTGTGAGGTGCATTGAGTGCATGCATGCACACATTAGCTGGCCCAGGAAGTGGGTTAAAAATCACATATGCTGCACATGCTGGGGGAACTTTGCTTATCTAGTTGTGGTTTTTCTGCCGCTTTGGTCCCTGTTGTATGATTAATCTGGTTGCAAGTTGACTTGAACAGGGAGGGAAATGATGTGTCAGTTGACTGTCAATGTCTGGACTCACCTCACAGGGAGGATAAAATCTTCCTTTACTCCTGAGCAGGAGGGAAAAGCCATGAAATGGGGAACAAGATGGCTTTGATTCTGATCTCCATTTTAACCCAGCCTTCCCCAGTTGCTGTGATGAACTGCAACTCCCAGTGTCCCCAGCTGGATACTGGCTGGAGAGGCTGTATTATCTTGCATTCTTTGTTGCCTCTGCTTTGCACATGGGCAGACAGGTCCAACCAAAAGGCAGTGCAGTGCAATCACCATATTACTATGTTGTTGTTGTTGTTGTTGTTGTTGTGTGCCTTCAAGTTGTTTCCTACTTATGGTGACCCTAAGGCAGACATATTATGGGGTTTTCTTTGCAAGATTTCTTCAGAGGGAGTGTTGCCATTGCCATCCCCTGAGGCTGAGAGCATGTGTCTTACCCAAGGTCACCCAGTGGGTTTCATGGCCAGACTGGGAATTGAACCCTGGTCTCCAGAGTTCTAGTCCAATGCTCAAACCAGTGTGCCGCACTGGCTCACAATATACAGAGTAGTATATTGACACCATGCAAGTGCAATGTAGTGTTTTTGTGGTTTTTTCGGGCTGTGAGGTTGTGTTCTAGCCCAAAAAACCCACAAAAATCTATGGATGCCAGCTGTGAAAGCCTTCAACTTCGCTGTGTAGTGTCTTGGCCACCATATGTTGCAGGTTGTGTCTGTGTTAATCCTGTTTTAGGCTGCCTTGAGCTCCAGTGCTGGAAAAAAGGAAGGCTCAAGAATGTATGAGTAACCTGGGTTTAGCCAAAGTTATGTCATATATGTTTCAAATGGTTTTATTCTGCCTTCTCCTTTGATGCAACTCTTTAATCTAATGGAGCTGCAATTGTGTGCATGCTTATTTTCATAGGGGACAACACAGAACCCTGAGGGACCCCACAGGCCAATGGCCTGGGGATCAAGCAGGAGTCCCCTAACAACATCACCTGGGTTCGCCTCTCCAGGAAGGAATGGAGCCACTAAAACATTACCTCCAAGTCCCATCCCAGAGAGTTGGTCCAGAAAGATACCATGGTCGATGGTATCGAAAGCTATTGAGAGGTCCAGGAGAACCAACAGGGTCACATTCCTCCTGTCTAGTTCTTTGCGTAAGTCATCTGCCAAGGCGACCAAGGCTGTCTCTGTTCCATAGCCAGCTCTGAAACCAAATTGAAATGGATCTAGATAATGCATTTCATCCAGAAATCCCTGGAATGGGAAGCCACCACACATTCCCAAACCTTACCCAAAAATGGTAGATTGGATATTGGCTGATAATTATTGTGGGATCCAGGGATGGTTTTTTTAAATAGAGGCCTCACAACTGCCTCCTTTAGGCAAGGTGGAACTCTGCCTTGTTGTAGGGAGGCACTGACTACCTCCTTTACCTACTCAACCAGTTCCCCTCTGGTCTGTTTAATGAGCCAAGAAGAACAAGGGTTCAAGGCACATGTGGTAGCTTTTTCCTCTCCAGTCCATTATCAGGCTGCACAAGTGGAAAAGTATCCATTAACACTGGACAGAAAGGAGCCAAGGTTACACCCACTGGCACTGTATCAACTGTAGCATCCAAGTCGGAGTGGACTTTATCTGCAAAATGTCATGCAAATTCTTCACAGCAGGCCTCCGAGTGGTCTGCATTTTCTACTTGAGAGCGATTGTGTAAAAGACCACTGAGCACTTGGAATAGCTCTGCTGAATGACTTCAGGCAGATGCCATTGCTGGCAGCAAAAAATATTTCTTTGCTGCCCGCATTGCCACAGAGAAGGCCTTCATATAGGCTCTAGCCCATGTTTGGTCAGATTCACTCTGAATCTTCTGCCAATGTTGCTCTAGTCTCCGTCTCACTCATTTCATCACCATCAACTCCCTGGAGAACCAGGGGGCTGGTTTGGCTCTGCCCCATAAGAGGAGACACTCAGGAGCGATTGTGTTCATGGCCCAGGCCATTTCCCCACTCCAAAGGTTGGCCAGAGCTTCAACAGAATCGCTTGCCGAGGTGACAGGAAACTCCCCAAGAGCCCTCAGGAATCCACCTGGATCCATCAGCCTCCTACGGCGGACCATCCTAATTGGTCCCCCACCCCTGCAGAGAGTCTGAGTCCCAGTGACTCTAAATCTGACCAGATAATGATCTGCCATGGCAATGGAACTGTGGAGAGTTCCACCACACCAAGATCATCATCACCCCACCCAGCACAGAAAACAAGGTCCAGAGTGTGTTGAGCAACATGAGTAGGGCCAGTTACCACTTGGGACAGACCCAAGTCCTGATCCATTCCTGAAAGTGCAATGTCAGCATGGATGTTGAAGTCTCCCAGCACTAATAGATGAGGAGACTCCAATACCAACCCCGAGACCACCCCAGCTTGCTCTAGAAGGGAGACTTTTGAGCAGTGGAGTGGGTGGTACACCAACAGAGTCCCTATTCTGTCCCAGCTCCCCACCTTTGGTTGGCCCAATAAAGATCTCAAGACAATGGGTTCATTGGTTTTTGTTTTATGGTCAGCATTGCTACCCCTGCAGAAACAACAACAACAACAAAACAATACATTCCAAATTAAAACAGTGCAGGAAGGTGGGGAAAAGCTCAGCTTTTTCTATGTCATCTTGAAATTCATTTTACAAAAATAAAGAGGGCTTGAGCTGGCATGATGAAGGCAGAGCTGCGTCACTCGGCAGCAAGATTTCTTGAGAAGATGTGTTTGTCCTCCCGCTATCAGCTTCCTGTTCATAGAGACAAGACTGGGGGGGATGGAGGGAGGAAGGAAGGAAAACAAGACAAGAAGCCAACTGTGCTCATACGCTCTGTAGCCCAGATGGAGGAGAGTTCCAGAATGGCTTTAGAGAGAACCAGAAGTAAATTAAGGAAAGAAAGAATCCCAGATCCATCTCTTTGAACTCGGGATGCCTCCTTCACAAGCTCTAATAATTTTGTGCATGAATGTTTGGGCACAGGGATAACCCTTTGCAGTTGTTGATTGTGACATACCCTCTTAACATTTTGAGGAATGACTTTATTCGAGTGATGTGATTGTGTGCTAAAACAGGGTGTGAGCAGTGTACCAGCCTTCTCTCTGATGTGGTGTTTCTATCCTAGAAACATGAAATTCGACTTCACAGTGCAAGTGCATCCTTTTTTTTTTATTGAAGTGTACAAATACACATATGAACATAAACACATACATACATATACAAACATATATATCTATATATACACATAAACACAAACTATCACCAACAATCACAATCTACAGTCTACAATCTATCATTCATTATATAATATTTTAAATATTAATTTTCTAATATGGAAAATAAATTTTAAGCCTAAATCTTCCATCCTCGATCTATTTCTGCACTAATTCTTCTGTTCGTTACAAACATACTTTCATTACATTCACATTATTAATCATAATCAGTATTTTATTTTCTATAAAGAAAAAGATATTCAATTATTTAATTTTAAAATTTCTTCAGTTTCTTTCTGGTTCTTACTTCCTTAAGTGAATCTACAACACTTGTTTCTTTTATCTTTACAGATAATACACCCATTTTTTAAGTTAAAGCTTACGCCGTAAATTGAAATATTTTCCAACCTTTTTTTCTTCCTAATAATTCAAGTTCTTTCCATTCATCCTCTGAATCTTTATTTTTTAGTTTTGCAGTGAGTTTGTCCATAGCAACTGCTTCCAATAATTTAAGAAGCCATTCTTCCTCTGTAGGTGTATGTTTTTGTTTCCAGTTTTGTGCATATGCAATCCTAGCTATAGTGACCATGTATAAAAGTTTTTTTGTATGCGTCTTATTTATCATTTTATCTGTATCTGTTATCATATTCAATAAGAAAAAATTAGGGTCACGGTCTGTTTGTATCTTTAGCATTTCTTCTATTCTTGTAGCTATCATATTCCAGTATTTTTTAGCTTCTTGACAATTCCACCACATGTGGATAAAATTCACTTCAGGACGTTGGCATTTCCAACATTTGGTATTGCCTGTTCTATAAATTTTATGAAGTTTTGCAGGTGTTATATACCATTGATGATGCATTTTGAGGTAGTTTTCTTTAAGATTTTGACAAAGCGTAAAATTATTAGTAGCCTTCAAAGATTTTTCCCATGTTTCAACATTAATAGATTCCCCGATATCACACACCCATTTTATCATAGCGTCTTTAATCGTTTCATTTTCCAAATTTCTATGTTTTAAAAGTTTGTAATATCTAGATATATGTTTGTCTTGTTCTTTATAAATAATTTTGTCTATTTTATTTGTATCTTTTCCTAATCCTGGTGATTTAGAATCCTCTGTAAATTTAGTTTTAAGTTGATTATATAAAAACCAATTAATTTTTATATCCTTTTGTAGCAAAGTCTCCATTGTTCTAACTTGATATACTTTCTTTTGGTCTACATTTATAATATCACTGTATAATATCCATTTTTCATCTTTATTTTTTGTCCTGTTGTAGAAAGCTTCTTGTACAGAGACCCATACTGGTATTTTTGTGTAAAATTGTTTTTTTATTTTATACCAATCTTCTCTCTGATGTGGTGTATCTATCCTAGAAACATGAAATTCGACTTCACAGTGCAAGTGCATCCTTTTTGGAAGAAAAAAAAAGTCCCAGCTGCTTCAGATCTTCCTGGAAGATCCAGAGCCTTCTGTTCTAATGCTAGGTGGCTATTCACATGTGTGTCCTGCTGTGCCACTTGCTGCAGCTGCCAAAGGTCACTTAGGGGGGATGCAGACGGGTGGCCGTGGGCTGCCCTGGGAAGTGGTGGATTGGGGCCGAGGCTGCCCCACGCCTCGGCCCCGATCCTCTCTTTTGCCGCCTGGGAAAGGAGCACTAAAACAGCACTCCTTCCACAAGCTGCGAAAGGGTCGCCCAAAGAGCCGCCATGCGGCTCTTTTCCGTCTCTTCCGGCTCAGCGTGTCTGGATGCTGAGCCGGAAGGATGTCTTCAGAGCGCCCATCGTGTGGAAGGGCGGGCACTCTGATTACGTCCTCAGGAAGGGGATGGGGCACCCGGCGTCCAGCTGCCCCTCCCCTTCCTTGAGTTGAAGATGGCACTTTGCGCCATCTGCAAAGGTAGTTAGCTCCATTGATGTATTCAAGTCTTTTAGTCCAATTCTCAAGTCAAATCTCTACCTTCAAGTCCGAAATTGAGTCTCAGGTCCTTGCAAGATACTTTAAGGTCAAGCCTCAGGTCTGGGAGCCAACTTTTAATAGGAAAAAAAGGTGCACTGCATTTCTTGGAGGGGGAACAGCAGGTGTGTTAGGCAATGAACTTGTGGTGAGGGTTGAGATCTGCTTGGCATCCTGTCCCTGCTGCATATCAGAGGGGCCTTCTAAAGCTTTTCAAAAGCTTTAGAAGGATCCTTCTACCTCAAGCCCATTGTTTATACATTTGCTGTTTCCTTCCAAAAAATGCACCCTACACTTTGGGGGCAGGTCTTGCCTGTTGCTAGAAATGAATGGCACCAGCAAGTCAGTCAC